TGGATTGAGAATTAGTGTTGTCCTGTATTAATTTGTTACTTGCCAGGACTAGCTTTAATGAGATTAGAAGGGACTCGCCTCGACTAAACAGCTCGCTAGATAGTCTTAGAGAGACCCCACAAAAAGCTTCTCGTCTTTTTCACTTTGCTTCGCCTCTCCCCGCTTCTTTCTTTACAATCCTGCCTTCGTCAATCTAGTCCCTTTTGGTGTTCAGACGGATCGATCTCGTCTTTCGTACATCAACAACAGCAATAGAAAATAGACGAATTTATCCAGTTTAGTCTAAACCAAACCTAACCAATCCAACTTAGTCCCTGAAGATAGTCTAGTCTGAAATAGTCTGGTGCAACAAACGCACCCATGGTTTTAGCAAAAGCCAAAAGTTGTTGACTCCAAAAAGGCGTGCTTGTGACTGGTAGTTATATAGTAGGCCTTGTGAAATTAAATGGCTTACTTAGCACTTGATCCATTTTATTTTGCTTTTACCTTTTTTTTTTTTTTTTTTCATTTTTGGGTCTTAGTTTGCTCTGCAAATAGTTGAAAATGGTCACATATTTATTGGAGGTAAAACTTGGATAATTTATAATGATTAAGAACGTCATGCTTAATTAGACTGTTTCACCCTAGTTTTGATTAAATTCGTAACACGATTTACATTTCCTTTTTCAAAAGCCCCTTTATAAAGGATTCTATGTGAACCCACCCCGAAAAGAAAGGGGATTTTTTTTCTTCTTTTTTTTTTTTTTTAATTTTAAAGTGTGCTATTTAAAAAAAAAAATCCTAATAAAAGATGCAAACCCCAAAATGGAAGGCTTGCTTGGTCACACTCAAATATTGAATGTTAGAACTTAGACCTTACTTTATTATTTCTCAAATTTCTGTAAGGCCTATTAGCAAGATTCATAAACAATTTGAGAAGATGTCATGACTAATACACAGAAGTAATATTTGGACCACTACAATAGTACAAGGGTATTGCGGTTGCTAGTGAGGGGACCTTGCTTATATATGTGCTACAGGTTTATAAGTTTATTCCAAACCCATCATGAATTATAACACAAGTCGATTCAGTTCGAACCTAATTAACTTGTCTAGGAATCATCTTTATTATTAATGCATTACGAGCAAGCACATTACAAGCTCATATACTAATGACTTGAGCTCCAAAGATCCAACATTTTCGCCATAACCTTAATCATGCCATGCAAACTACGCATATTCATTATGACAAGACGTTTTATAGTATTATGTTTAACTTTAGTTCCATGTGGCTTGGCCCCACTTAAGCATCGCTTGCTTCGTGAGAGCAACAACCTTTACCCTTACCCTTATAAACCAACTAAAACACTCCAGGAACTAACCAAAACTCCAAAGCTGAGCTGATCATGTTTTGACCTAGAGTCGTGCGCCTCACTTTTAATGTGCAGAAGAAAAGAGTTTTGCCATTTTGAACTCACAAAGAAAAACGGAGAGGAACGTAGCCAAAGAAAGAGTCCTACTGTGGGACTTGGTGCAAGAAACAAGGAATCCTGTGGTCTCACGAGGTGATCAATCCTCTACAGTGTTAGCCCAAAGGAGAACGATGTAGCTGCAAATAGGGAAAAAAGAAAGGAAGACTTAGCAAATCTAGAAGAAGAGAGGAAACCATAGGATTCTCCAACTAGAACTTACTAGGATTCATGCGCTTATAAATTCAAGCCACCAGCTCGCTTGGAAGATAGGACGCACCAAGTATACAAGCAATCTCTAAGTGCTGGAAAACCTAAATTTGCAGGTTCTAACCATTTTCCTTCACTCTAATCCTTACCATAAGCTTCCCTAATCCTTCAAAATTAATAAACCATTAGAAACCCAAATTAATCACTTCAAAGTCAGTAACCAACGATGAACTCTCTCTCATGCCAGACTAGTGGGCTTTTAGCTTCCACACCACACATCATTGAGGCAAGTTACAATTTGTTTTATTAATTATTCAAACATTGCTAATTGGAGCCATTGATTTGTATGGAATACCTCCTAAGGCGTGCTTTTCTTTCGAAATATTTCAGGACATGATGCCATAAATGAATTAGGGCAGCTAAGTGTTTCCAAAAAAAGCTTAAATGTCACTTGATAAAAAAGGTCCCCAACACTAATTATCATTATAATAATTTTGCCATATACAAGCTTATCATATACATTAAGTGTTTTCTTTTTCCTAACCACCCGAAACAAATTGAAGACTAAACGAATTCGGTTATAATTTCCAGACACATTTGCTACAATTTTTGTTTTACGAATTTAATTCGATATTGTTGAAAAATTGATAGTAACAAATACCTGATTTGTTGTATATTTACCTTTTACATATTTGTCTAACTAGGTGGTTAACTTCGCTTTGCAAGGAGTTGCTTGATCGTATAATACAATTTGTACTCCCTTCGTATTTATGAAACATATAACATTATTTAAAAGAGCATTCTTTTCTATATATGCAACCCTTTGTTCACGATCTAGTACTCAAATTAAAACAACAGGCGACAATAATACAAAAAAAGAATGGTATTGTCACGAATCCCCAATACATCGTGCAAGACATATGGAGCAAGACAAGGACATTCCAAGATGTTTGTCCACCAGTGTTTGGTTTCTTGTACAAAAAACAAAATGCTTTCAATTTGAAAGTCGAACCCTTCGGCCAATCGCAGACTTAAAGCCATGTAGTATGGCCTTTCCTTTTCTTATCTCACTACTGCTGCGTGTGAGCAAAGGCAAACGCGCTTTGACCTTCCATGGTACATTATTATTCACACTGAGACATATAAGCCTGCAGTGGCGTGGCCATTTCTCGGTCCAATATCAACTGCATTATATGTGCATATCATGTTTTGTACCATGTATAGTATATAGCTATCTATGTGCATGCATGCACCTTGCAAATAAAATTTTAGGGTTTAGGTTTTCTGGCCATCTAATCTAGGGTTTTGAAGTTTTGTAAGCTATCGTATAATGCCGTTTACAAGTTGCAACGATTGATTACCTTTCGGCAGGATAACTACAACTTACAAGTTGCAATATCCTTTGAGACATGTGTGTCTGTCAGCATGTGGTGCGGACATTTGTCACTCTATCCAAACCCTAATGTTACATCATCTGCTCGATGGCAGCTTTGTTTGCTTGGTTTCACGGAAACTTAAAATGTTATGGTGAATGAGGTGTCTAATCTTCTGCATGCCTATTTAAGCATGTTTGAGGTTTCACATTTCACATCAGCTAGGGGCATATTCATGTCAGTTGGTCATGACTTTGCTTGAGGGTTAAGACTTGAGGGCGGTGCTAAAAGATCTTAATTTGGGCATACAAAAGCCTGATTGCATGGTGTTTGACTAATATATATGGGCCAATAAAGTGACGGGGCGAAACGCGCTTTTTAGCGATCTTCTTTTGGTTTTGATTCCTTCAGAGACTCAATTCAACAACTCTACTTCACTATTTCATCAAAACAAATAAATAAATTAGCGCGTGAAAGAAAAATAGGATTATTCAAGACAATGAAAGAGAACTTTATGCATGCATGTAACCAAAAGATTTATTTTCAAAACCCCAAAGTGTTTTTGTGGGGTTGATTATACGTGTAGTCTGGTTTAATCTCCACTTTTTTTTTACTAATAATACAGAAAATAAAGAAGAAAAGGAAATGCGGATGGCATTTTTAAAGTCTTTGAATTTATACTTTTCGAACTTTCCTTATATGTATACTTACTGCAAAAAATTTGAAGAGATTCTATTGACCCCACCTTGTTGATAAATAGGAATTATTGGATTTGTCCGACAGTTAATATAGTTAATGTAAGTCCAACGAGATGATGATACTTTCTTTTAATTCATTGACTAAAAGTTTTAGATCAGTAACTAATTAGCAAAAAACTACGCCACAGTTTAAAAAGAAATGCTAAGAAGACTTTCTCAAAAGTTGAACTCTCTAATACCTCATGTTTTTAGCACAATTTATGTGTCCATATTATAAATAATGTGTAAATAATGCTGCACCGATTGTTTGAATTAATTTCTAGAAAAAGCATTGAGAATGTTCAGTAGCTAGGGGTGAAATGTAACAATGACTACGATGTGGATAGAAGATAAAAGAGAAATTTTATTTGAACACATTTAATTTATCTCTATATGTAAGATCCCACATCGTCTAGGGAAGTGGATCCTGTAAGCTTTATATGTATATTCTCATCTCTACCTAGCACGAGGCCTTTTGAGAGCTCACTGGCTTTGGGTTCCATTGCCAGTGAGCTCCCAAAATGCCTCGTGCTAGGTAAAGATGGGAATATACATATAAGGATTACAAGATCCACTCCCTTGGGTGATGTGGGATCTTACAATTCACCCCCCTTAGACCATCTCCAACCCTTGGGCTAAAAGCCAAATTTTTTAGCCCGGAAAATTTGGCTTTTAGCCCAGAAACATCTTTTCTGCTCCAACCCTTCTGGCCTAAAATTTTAGCCGGGAATTATTAAAGAATGAACTTAGGCTAATTTTTTTCTTAAATCAATATTTTTTTAAAAAATAAATATGTAGATTATTGTAAATTAATTTTATGAACATTTTAATCTAAAAAAATTTAAATTCCGATAAATATTAAAAAATCATTAAATTTTTTACAAAGCAAACTACTTTCACCAACCTTTCAACTTTCACCAATCGTTCATCTTTCACCAACCGTTCAACTCCAAACTTTCAACTTTCACCAACCATTCAACACCAAACTTTCAACTTTCAACACCAAACTTTCAACTTTCACCAACCGTTCAACACAAAATTTTCAACTTTCACCAACCGTTCATCAATCATCCTCTATATAAACACAGGGTCCAATATTAGTTGATCACACAATCTTTCAACCTTCAATCATCCTCTATATTCACCAATCTTTCAACTTTCAAAGAGTTTTTTGTTTCTTAAAAATTCTCAATATCTCATCAATGAGTGATAGAAGAAGGCGTAGCAGGGCAATGGAGATGGCACAATACCAAGTAAGGCTTGACATTGAGGATTTAGAACTGATCAACGCCGAAGCTGAACTTGTAAACTCGTTTATGCAATATGAGCACCATGGCGAATCTAGCCGTCGTGGTTCTCTCACAGGGCGTTCATTCGTGCAACGTGATAGAGAAGAGTGTCATGAGCAAATGATGAAAGATTATTTCATTGAGCGGCCGAGATTTCCTACTCATGATTTTCGGAGGCGGTTTCGGATGAGGAGAGAGCTTTTTGAAGGCATCTTGAACGCAGTTGTCAATCATGACCACTACTTTGCAAGGAAGATAGATGTCGTAGGCCGACAAAGTCTATCACCTCATCAAAAGCTCACATCTGCATTTCGAATGCTAGCTAATGGGTGCTCTGCTGACTCAACTGACGAATATTGCCGACTTGCGGAGAGTACTGCTATTGAGAACCTGAAGCGCTTTTGTCAAGCAATTCAAGCCATCTACGGAGCCACATACCTCCGCAAGCCAACTCGTGAAGACTTGAAAAGGCTTCTACGCAAGGCAGACAAAAGAGGCTTCCCTGGCATGATAGGAAGTCTCGATTGTATGCATTGGGAGTGGAAGAATTGTCCTACTGGTTGGGCTGGCCAATTCAAGGGCCGTCATAACAAGCCAACCATCGTGCTGGAGGTTGTGGCATCTTACGACACATGGATTTGGCATGCATTTTTCGGCTCACCCGGATCAAACAACGATATCAACGTTCTTTAGTCTTCTTCTCTGTTCGATGAGGTTGTGAATGGATGGGCACCAGAATTTCGATACAAGGTAAATGGTAATAGGTATGAGCTAGGTTACTACCTAACTGATGGTATTTATCCTAGTTGGTCTACCTTTGTCAAAAGTTTTTCTCATCCCGATAGTGAAAAGAAGAAATTATTTTCACAGAGGCAAGAGTCTTACAAGAAAGATGTGGAGAGAGCATTCGGGATCTTACAAGCTCGATGGGCCATTGTTAGAGGGCCTGCACGATTTTGGCAACCCGAAGACCTCCATTCAATCATGATGATGTGCATAATTTTGCACAATATGATTGTGGAAGATGAGTACATCGAAATTGTAGAAGATTCAGACGAAGATGTGGATGATGACCAACCAACACATGCGAGAGCTATTGCAAGAGATGTTGAATATCTCGCTCCAACCACATATGAGACCCAACATGATAGGGTCACCTTGGGTGAGTATATGAGACGTTTAAATAGAATTCAAGCTCCTCAAATTCATGACACACTCTGCAAGGATTTGGTTGAGCATGTGTGGCGCCGAGAAGGTGAACGTTGATGATGTTGGTTGAGCATTTATGTAATAATTTTACGTGTACTATGTTGTTATTTGTCTACTACGTTGAATAATTTATTGAATGGAGGTTGAAATAATAAGTACAATAATTATTGAAGACATTTAGATTAAATAGAAACAATAATAATAAGACATAAACTTAATAAAGTACATAAACCACATAATAAACAACATAATAAACAACATAAACTTAATACAAACGATAATTAATAAAGCACATAATTCATACACTACATAAACTTAACAATCATATCCACCATCTTCACTTGGTGATGGACTTCGTTGAAATGTTGGGATATAGGGTTCCTCTTGAAACATACGCCTTGAGGCAGACTTTCGCATAATTTCCTTTTGCTTATTACGTAAGAACTTCTTCCTCTCTGGAGTGTATTTGTTGAGGTCCTTCATCATGAATTCAATTTCAAACCTATTTTCCTCCCTATCCGAGATTTCCTTCATTTGCAAACGCAATCGGGCCGCTTCTTCTTGGCGAGCGCTATGAGTTTCATGCAATTTTGCAATTCCGATAGCAAAGTCTCCACTTGGGGAATCTTGGGACTTCCCTTTTCTCTTTGCTTCCTTTTGCTTATCTCTTCCCGGGGGCCTTGCTAAAGAAGGAGATGGGGTCATTTCATCGACACCTTCATCGCCACCTTCATTTCTTGGTGCGGCTTCACGTTGAAATAATCTTCCCCATTGTTGGTCTGCATCGGTTGCCCACCTTGGACAATCCTTGAGGACGTCACAAGCATGTTGCAACTTAAAAACTTGATTTTTTGGTGTTACTCTTGTCTTGTAAATTTCCATTGCTTTGTCACCCTATGCAAAAAATACATAAAAATAATTAGTTGCAAAATAATATTATGTACATGACAAATAAAATATCAAGAAAAAAACTCACAATTTCTATGGCGCTCCTTCCACTAGGCCATGCCAACCATGGCTCTCTCTAAGCTTCCCTTCCATAAAGTGCATGCTTTGTTGATAGTCTTCCACCGATCATAAACACCACTACCGTCTCGCCCGCTGCCGTTGCAGTTTTCTTGAAACTTTGCAATGATTTTATCCCACAAAACCTTTTTATTTTGATTTGTGCCAACTGCACCATCTTCACTAACAGACACCCATGCCAAGCATAAAGAAACATCTTCCTCAAAGGTCCAATTACGACCTCTAACATGCTCTCTTGCCATGTTGAACAATTTGGAAATGGAAAAGAAATGATAGAAAGATAAATTGGAAGAATTGTAGGAGAAAATTGAATTTTGTGTGGATGTTTGAACAAATACATAGGTATTTATAGATTTTTTGGGTAAATTTTGTGTTAAATAAATTTATTTAATTATTTTAGCCGTTGGATTTAAATTTAGGCCGTTAGATCTTTTTTTTTACCGTTAGATTTGAGTATATTCAATCTCAACCGTTGGATTCAATGTATTTTAAAATAACATATTTTTTAAAAATAAAGTTTGAATCTGGACCGTTGGATCAACCAACGGTCCTTAAATCCTGCCCGTTTGATTTCGAAAAGAGCCGTTGGGGCTCTGAAGAGTGGCCGACAAGGCCTGACGGTGGGACCCCCTCTTGTTGGGCTCCGATTGCAAGTTGTGGGCGTGGGGCGTGTGCGCGAGTCCACGGGCCGAGAGTGGCCCAAAACTGGGCGAGTCCACGCGGCTGGGGGGGGAATTTGGCCCAACTTTAGCATTCCCCTTTTAGCCCAATATTTTAGCTTGGTTTGGGGGGTGTTTGGGGGGAATTTTGGGCTAAATATTTGGCTTTTAGCCCAGGGTTGGAGTAGGTCTTAGGGGCCCGACATCCTCGTCTACACACTTCCGGCTAGGGATTGGCTCTGATACCAAATTGTCACATCCCAGCCTGGGCCCCCACCACATCTTGGGCTTGCCTCCACCGTAGCACGATATTGTCCGCTTTGGGCTCCAACCACGCCCTCACGGTTTTGTTTCTAAGAACTCACACGAAAACTTCCCAGTGGGTCACCAACCAAACTGACACATCCCGACCCTAATTGTCCACTAAGACTTCAAATCGAGTTCCGCTGGCCAACACCTGGAACATGACAAAGCCATAAAGTGCAGTGATGTGGAAAGTGTGAATGAATTTAAACCTAAAAGTGCCTAAACGCAAGAGTGCACTTTAAGCGGGAATGAACTCATTACACATGTGACGTCAGAGTATAAGTAAAGTACAGTAAAGTGGATTGAGAATCATACCATCGGAGGTAATCTCCAATACCAAGATTTGCCACGAATCCTTGTGGATAAGAAAGCTTACCTAATAAAACCTGTAAGGGCAAAAAAAAAAAAAAAAAAAAAAAACCAAGGGTGAGTTGGCCTGACAATAAAGTTTTAATAAAAACCTTTTTAAAATGTTATAACCCCCTCGCTGTAAAACCCGTATAGTTTCCAGAAACTCATACAACGTATCAGTATAAAATCAAATGCAAATCAACAGTATATCCAAAAATATTCCAAGTCACTACATATCAACAACAGCATAATAAAATCAAGTGTTCACCAATCTATGCTGACACACAAGTCGAAGTTGCCTAATGCAACCTGTACGACAGTGCCAGAGTTGCCTATCATTGCAACCTGTATGATGGTGTCGAAGTTGCATAAAACATAAATATAGTCATGTCATAACTCAATCATTTCAAATAACACCCTAAACTCACATGAACTTACTTGTGCGCCCCGCTTTCACCTTAGCACTTCAAAGTATTTACAACAGTTACATGCAGGTAATATGTATATAGATATACCGTGTACCTGAACTTACCTGCATGTCCCGCGTTCACCTTAGCACTTCAAAGTATTTACAACAGTTATATGCAGGTAATATGCATATGGATATGCCATGTTGCAATCTAAAACTCAGCCATGTCATAGTCTTTTGAAATATATATATATACACACACACACACACACATGACAAGGCATAAAATGCATAAATCAAGTTAAAAGCATTTGTGGAACATCAATCATATATATACTATAAAAAGGAACAGACTTACTCACCTGGAGTCCACGCTACCACTCCTTAGCACAAATATCAAGGTGTCACAAATGATCGTCGCCTGAAGCAATTATCAAATCACGTCTCAGAATTCTTATCGATAGAACACTTAACTCACATAAAACACATCCCCCAAGGACGTTCTAGAATGATTTAAGACCCATTGACCAAAAGTCAACCGTCAGTCAAAGATCAACGGTAAGGTCTACAACCCTACGTAACTCAATCTTCAAGATGCGCATCACAGATTTCCGATCCGTAACTTCCAAAGATCCACATTATATTTCTAAAGCATCATACTAAAGTTTCATTACTATCCAACGGTTGGATCTCCGCCAATTGCTAGAATTAAGTGGCGGACGATGTTTTATTATACGAGCTTACACATCCAGTTCGGGAAGATCCGTATATCAGATTCTCAATCCGTTAGTTCCTATTGTCCTCAAATATTACGTACTATACGTATTAAAGTTTGGTGACAATCCAACTGTTGGACCATCAATTCATATAAAGGTCAAGTAATGGTCTCTAACATAACTATGTTCAAATGATGAAATTTCATCAATCGGACTTCACATATGGGATTGGTGTATCAAATTTAGCCTAGGGAGGTCAGGGGATACCTCAGCCTACACGCCGCCGCCACGCACCGCCGCAAGTGGCGGTCGGCCGCTCCGACTTGCTGGAAAATCCAACTATTTCCAAAAATTCTCAAATTTTACAGGAATGAAGATATTAACGAGTAGAGCAAGTTTTATACTTGTGGCCAAGTCCAATTTGGCCAAGAATGGTCCCAAATTGACTCGCATCCGTCGAAAACCCTAGAATGGGTGTTATTCGATTCGACTTCCTCAGTGTTCCAACGCCCCTACAACTGGTTAGGTCTTGGTTCCTGGGTCCATGAGGAGTTAATTAAGGGTGGTGATGGGTGGTGAAACTCGTCGGATTGGAGGAATCACCGTCGAGCACCATCGGTGCTCCGGTGGAGTTCTACGGGAAATAGGACCTAAAAAACCCTTCAAATATGGGTGGAGATGGTAGAGGGGAGGATGTGGAAGAGGTTGCAGGTGATGGATGGTGGTGATCAATGAGAAAAATGGTGGAAGTTCGCCGGATTTGGCATCGGGTTGGTACACTAGTGCACGGGAAAGCTGGGATCTTCCCCCCCCCCCCCCTTTTTTTTTTCTTCTTCCTTCCTGATTGACTGATCCCTTTCCTTCCTCATTCTGTTTGGTCCCTCAATCATTTCTCTAATTGGTCCCTTAACTAACATAAATTTGAGGGGAATTTAGTTAAGTTTAAAATCTATAGTTTAGTAACACAACTTCCAATGTCCATAACTGTACCGTTATAATCCGGACTAGCAAACGACTTTCGCCCATGCGTTCGAAATGACGAGTACCACAAGGATACGCTAAAAGAATAAATCCTACGACTCTCTAACCGATGGTCAACGAAGGTCAAAGTCTTTGCCTCAAGAGAGCATTTTCGTAAAATTACTAATTTAAAATTTATAAAACTTAAAATTAGGGACGATTATCACAATCTACCCACCTTAAAAAAAATTTCGTCCCCGAAATTTGATATCATTTGCTAAACATAATGTACTCCAGAAGATAAGTGTATATAACTTTGGGTCGAGCCCAAACAATAAATAACTAATTAAATAAGTAAATACAATTACTAGCGTAAAATGACCTACTTGATTACTTGCTTAACAACCCAACGAATAAGTTATTGATATTACGGTCTGCAGCCCGGAATACCAATAACTCACTGTTGTCTCAATAAACAAATAACAATTCTTGAGGGTGGAATATTACCATCATGCCCTCCATTGAGAAATACACATACATCTTCTGGTTAGCGCCTCAACCACGCTCACGTACTACGCTCTCGGGCAACATTGTCAATATCATAAAATTTTCTTTATCACAATCTCAATC